TTGTTGGGGCCTTCAGGACATGATCACTGTCACCACATGGAAACCTGATGCTGGTTGCTATGTGGGGACCAGGCTACTGTGGGTGCCAGGAGGTCCTCAGGAGTAGTAATGGTCAACTGCCAGCTTCCCAGAGGCAGGTGAGTGTATGAAAGTAGAAAGAGGCACATAATCCAGAGAAACAGTAGGAGGCAGAGCTTGAAAATCTCCTATCTCTTTTTGGACACATAGTGTGGCTCCAGGAAGTAAATGAAGACAGACTTGACCCAGGGTATGTATGTGCAAAGGACAGTGCTCCCTACCTACTTCACTCCAAGAAGACCACTGTGACCTGCGAAATTGATGCCTAGGACTGACCTCCACAGTAAGGATTTTAGAGCAACATGGCACTGCATGGGTTCCCCTGTTACCCACCAGAAGTAATGACCAAGAGTAAGATACACCATTCATCAGGGGGAACATTCTGGCTTTAGATACGTGGGGGAGTTATTTAAACACTCTCACTACCATTATTTAAAATCTCAGGCCATCCCTGGTGGTGCAGCAGATTAAAGCGCAATACTGCAAAGCTAGCTGCAGCTACTTCAGCTTGAGATTGATTCCCTGCCAGGGAGATGACCCACATGGCACAGCAGGCATCTACTGTCCTGCCCTCTGCTCCCCTCAGCAGTGTATTTCATCGGTCTGCCTTTTCTGCTCCCTGCTCTGTCTCTGACGAATCCTCTCACCGCCCCTGCACTTCTGATTTGTACCCCAGTTCTGTATGCAGAAATAAATGCATTTTTAAAAAATAAAGAAATTCTCTTTGCCTCAGTTTCCTGCTCTATAACTTGGGGTAATAATTGTTCTAATATACAGGATGACTGTAGGGATTAGTTGGAATAATCCCCAGTTAGCACAGTGGCTGACACAGAGTAAGTGTTCAGCCAAAAGGAGTTCTGATGGTTATTAAAAACAATGGTGACTCGTTTTATGAGAAGGCAACAAGATTGAGGAGGAACAATGAAACATGGAAATAGTTTTAGAGGGGTCACACAACATAAGCGACCTACAAAGCCACACAACTTTAAAGTGTGAGAATGGTTTCTGACCGAGGTCTCTGACATGGACACTGAGTGTTTGACTGCTACACTTAATGCTTCCAAAAGCAAGAAAGGGGACCATCGCCCCAATTGTCATCTTTAACTTAGGTAGGGAGGATACAGATGGCAAGAAATTGTTCTGTCTATATCCGATTACAGGGTAAAGGGATCATATTACAGGGTCCATGGAGTAGTGACCCCTATTTAGACATCAACCAGAAAAAGGACCTTGATGGGTTTATCCTGTCCTACGAAAACTATGATGAATCCCAGACCACAGTAAGAACAGCAAATTTGACTCCTTAGGGGCAGAGTGTAGAACCTAGATGAAATTTTCCTGCTCTCCAGAGGGCTTGTCTAAAGATCAACTTGCTATCAAGCTTATAAAAATAATGTCATGAAATACTTAACATTGCTGAGGCAGGTAGTATTAAGGTCCTTACTTTACAAATAGCAGAGATGTGGAGAGGTTCACAATCTTGTCTGAGTTCCCACTTCTAGAAATGGACAGAGGCAGCATTTCTATCCAGCCTTAGTGTCTTTACTGGTCTCATCAACCTATGGTGCTCACTTCCATGTATAACAGCCCTTCCATCCCATTCTTATAATGCTTGTGATCTCTCATTTTTCTCTGTCACCCCTGAATAGGTTCTGATATCAGTGCCATCAAGCTTGTTGCTTGGCCAGCAGCTACCTCTCTCTCTAGAGATTATTGTATATTTGCTGCAGTGCTGTGCTGGAGTTGGCCCCAATATTTGAGTTTTCAGGAATTTTGTGAGCCAGTAGACATCACTTGGTATTTTGAAACTGACCAGTGTATTTACATCAGAGAAATCAGCCAACTCTAGGATCAGGGGATCCTAGGATCTAGATGACTAGAGAGTCATCTCCATTATCCTGCTACCCCAACATTATTCAACATAAACTAGTAACACCCTTGAGCCCTCATCTCTCTTTGTCATTTGTTAAAGAGTGTCAGGCATGAGGGACCATGTTGCCAAGACAATGTGGAAAACCTGGGGGAGAGTGTAAAGTCATGACAGTGAACCACACTGGCTAACTGTTTCCTTTGGGTCCACTATTCCAGCTGGACCAAGGGTTTCCCACCCCACAGAAGAGGCTGGTGCATCTTAGTAGAAGAAATGGTCATTATACACCAGAAGCAAGTCCTTGTTCAAAGAACAGGCTTCATGAGCATTAACAGGTATGAACAGCTAAAGTCAGAAAAGTCTACCTCATTTGCAGAACTACAGAATCTGTTCCTGAATCTGTAGAAGGATTGTTTTTCATCTGATGCCACAAAGCCACAGAATATAATTTTACCAATGAGAAAAGAAAAAGAAACTGAGATCACCCATGAGAGGGGCAATGGTGGGCTCATCCCTCTCCTGATAGCTGTATGTATCTTTCACTGCAAACTTGCATTTAGTCATAGAGTAGAAAGAATCCAGGATCCTGGCTTGATAGGATCCTTTATTTGTCCCCTTTATTTGGAATCAACTATGATGTATACATGCTGAGACATGATAGCTAAATTTTACCAACGGCTTATTTGGTGATAGGACTTAAGCTGGGAATTTGATAGATTATGTTGCATGCTGGAATTGACAATATCTGACCTTTATTGAACCATTAAATAGTAATTACAAATAGTTTAGTCTAAATACATTCTCTCTATTGATTTTTACCATCTTCCCATGAAGAGAGGAGTATTATCACACTCATTTTGCAGAGAGGAAGACTGCAGTTATAAGTTAAAAATGAAAAGTTTCTTCTGACAGCATAATACTGTTCTTACTTGTGACTGAAACACAATGCATTTTTGTGTGCATAATGATGAACCAAAACAGTGAATATATACGAGGCAGAAATAATAATAACTGATATTTCTTACCTTGTTTGGCGACCTTGGATAAATTTCTAACCAATAAATTTCTATAATATCTAAAGAAATACTTTTTACAGATTTTTTTTGTGGATATAAACCACAGACATTAGAAAACAAGAAGAGTGATGTTTTTCCACCAAGCATCCCACATGGAGATGTTAGAAATGACAGCTCAGGGCATCCCAGAATAAATGAAATCTCACAGAACATTTTATAATGCTCAGATGAGGAAGCAAATTGATTTGACAACCTTGTCTATGCTGTGTGCCTATTATCAGTCAAGAAAATTCTGAATCAAAGCCATTTCATTGTGTGCTGAAATGCACATTTTAGGGTATTAAATTCATAGCCCAACAAACAGTTCACAAATAGCAAGACTGCATCAGAATGACCAGCACAGACTAAATGAGACCATAGATGCTATGTTGACTAAGGGAAATGAATGGGGAAAACTGAAAAATGGACTTAAAAACACCAATGACTGTTCTTTTCAACATGAAATAAGAACTGCTCATATTAAGAAATAGATTGACCAGTACCTTTGTGGTTTTTCAGATCAATCCTCCAAGTTGAAAATTTGACTGTTGTGCTCTTAATTTTGTCAAAAAATACTGAAGGAGGGTCATTCCATAGGCTTTCTGACGATGGGTTTACTGTTATCAGTGAGAGCAGAAGATAAGCCTGTCTTCTCACCTCTGAAGAGGAAGCAGTATTATCTCCCCTGCAACTTGAGAAGGCCAGTCATCCAGACGTTTCCTGCCTAGCCTGGCCACTAGAGCTCACCTCACCTCACCCACCTCACCTCACCGATGGCTCACGTCCACACCTATGAAGTCAGACCTCAACCAGCCTTCCCCCCACCACCACCCCATATCACTTCCCTTTCAGTAAAATGCGCTAACCCCCCTGCTCTACTTCTCCATTGATAGGCAAATAACACCAGGCTACAGTTAAACAATCATGCAGGCCTTGAAAAGTTGCTGAGACAGGACTCCAGCAAGGCTCCATCACAGACACAGTCTTTTGAAAGAAGAAAGGAGTCTTGTAGGTGGTACTTACAGAACTTTCATTTCAGAAAGAAGCTGTCACAGAAGGTAAAGACCAAGGCCCAAGCCACTCACCCACAGAGAAGGAAGCTGGGCCTCCTGACCCTCACCCTTTTTGTACCTGATTCCACTGTGAGGGCGAAACAGGCTGCTTCCCTTATTTTGGATGTAAGGAATATATTAAAGAAGACTGACTTAGCTAAGCAGTTGTAATCTTCTGAGCTGTGCTGCATAACAGTTTGTGTGTGTGTGTATGTGGGGGGGTATTCCCAGTTTCCCAGGAAGCTTTCAAGGAGTGAAGAGGTCCTCCACTGTGCCTTGCTAATTCCAGACCATGAAATTTCCAGAGAGTATTATTCCAAGATATCAGAGAGGGGTGACAATTGGGACAGATAAAGGTGAATTAATAAAAAAGTTGATACTAGACCTTTTAATTTAATTTCTCTCACATACATTAAGGATACTATACTTTTGGAGGTCATCATGATAGAGCACAGATAGAGGTCAAGTATAATGCTGTCCTCCTGAAACTTATATGTTATGAACTAATGTTACATCTTTAAAATATATTTTTAAAAATAAATGAAGGAAACTGGGCTAGTTCATGCCATGGGTCCCAATGAATATTTTTTTCAGTCTATGCCCCATAAAATGTAGTAGTTTTCAAATAAAATTCACATTTTAATCCACCATAACATATACCATGAAAATGTTATAATTATAAAATTAAACTTAAATTTGTAGGGGAAAAGAACAAATCCGCATTCAACTTGCTCTTATATAGTTATTAGGACTGAAGTCACCTCATGCTATCACTCCATCACCTGACTTTGCTCCACATTCTCTTCTGTTTACTCTTCTGAGACTTTTTAGGTTGTTTAACAAGCTTGTCCATGTCCCATTTTATTTCCTGTGTGTGCTCATATTCATCCCATCTAAATAGAAAATAACTTTTTAAAAAAAAGACAAAACCAAACGCTCACATACCCCATGGCGGTCCTCAAAGTATGCCAGGCTGGTTTTGGTTAAGACAAAGAAGCGGACTTTAAAGTTGGAGGGAGACGTTCTTCTTTTTTGTTGGGATTTCTTGATGAGCTGTTCTTCCAGCAGGATGGAGTTGTTCATGTTCCAGTTCTCGACACAAGAGGCTCCTTGGACATCGAGCCTCAGAACCAGCAGAGAAAACAGCTTTGGGGCCAGGAATGCAAAGGGAAGGTGGTTGGTCTCACAGACTTGTTCACAGGGACCTTGCCTCCAGCGTTATCTTTCTATCAAGCTCAGTCAACATCGTGGAGCTTCTCTTCTGATGTCAGAGGTCATAACCACATCCTTTCGAATTTCACAAAACGAAGAGGCATATGTAAAAAATACACAGACCCTTTGCTGTATAGTTTGGAAATGATCTCTGAAAGAACCTGAGACTCAAAGTGATGTGAGGAATTGGAGTTTAATCTTTACAGTTCCTGAATTAGCCTAAAGAGCACTGCAAAGGTGGAGCAGAGCAGATAGGGACCGGGTTCTGCTCTCAGTGGTCCAATCTGTGTTCCCTGTTGCTGCTGTAACAAATGATAACAAGCTTAGCAACTCACAAAAGCATCTCACAATTTTATGTGCAAATGTCCAAAATGGCCTCATTGGCTCAGAATAGGTCTCACTGGGGTGAAATGGGTCTTATTGGGATAAATTGCACAAGTCAGCAGGGTTGTTGTCCTTACTGAAGACTCTTACTAGCGAATCTGCTTTTTTTTTTCTTTTCCTGCTTCTGTCCCCTGGTATCTTCAGCGCCAACACCCACTTGTCAAGTCCTCCTGTCTCTCGTACATCACCCTTAACTTTTGCTTCCCTCTTTCCAGGACATTAGACCTGACCAGATGACCCAAAATTCCCCTGTTTTTTGTTTTTTAAAGATTTATTTATTTACGCTGAGGGGAGCAGCAGGCGAGTCAGGTGAGGTCTGCCATGCCATGTGTGTCACCTCCTGGGTAGGTGGGGATCGAACTCATGCTGAGGTGGCTTTAGCTTCTTTGTGCTGTGCTTTAACCTGCTGCGCCACCAGGGAGCACCCCCCCAACCCCCACCAGTTTTTTTTTTTTAAGATTTATTTATATATGCATACAAAAATGGGGTACAGCCAGAGGTGCAGGGGCGACAAGAGGATTCACCAGAGACAGAGCGGGGAGCATAACAGGCAGATTGACAAGGCCCTCCCTGATTGTGCAACAGACAGCACTGTGAAGCTAGACTCAGTTGCAGCCGCTTCAGGGCAAGTTTGATTCCCTGCTCAGGAGGTGACCCATATGGCTCAGCAGACCCCTCCTGCCTTGCCCACTGCTCCCCTCTGTGTATTTTATCAATCTGCCTGTTCTGCACCCCACTCTGTCTCTGGTGAACCCTCTTGTCGCCCCTGCACCTCTGGCCTGTATCCTGAATAAATAAATAAATATTTAAAATAAAGAAAAATATTAAATGGAAGCTCATAGAATTTTCTCTATGCTACAGATAAATGATAGCTTTTCTATCCTAAAATTTAGTGGAGGAGCAGAGAATTAATAAATTCTTCAGAATGGTATAATAAACATTACAATTGTGGGCTCTGAAGACAGGCAAACTTGTGTTGGAACCCTGGCCTTGTCGCTTACTGTGCTGTATCTCTTTGAGTAAGTCACCTTCCTTTTCTAGTTCATAGTTTCCTGGTGATTGTCGCTTTGAGGACTCTGTAAGAGGTAGGTGTGTGTCATGTAGGATAGTGCATAGCTGAGGTATGAGAATCTGACCTCCAGCATGAAACAAATAACAAAAGAAACAAATAGCAGAGAGGCTTATGCTGGGCAGGAATAAATAATGAGAAGAAACAATCATTAATTCTGTATATGAAAGCACAATTATCTACAATTTACCTTTATTGAAAATTACTAGCATACAATTTAGTCTCTTTTCATACATTGGATTCTTTAGCATGAGTGAAACCCTCAGGATATCGGGGTTGGATACTTTAGATGATTTCCCATCCCACATGTTGAAGTTTTAAGAGGAGCCCGTGGAAACATACTTTTCCAAAGATACTGTATCCTAAATATGGGTTTGAGGCAGGAATTTCCTCTCTCCTTCATTCTGAGTAACTGACTCCCTAATGGTGAGCCAGTGAGTCTCTTCCAGCCAATAGGACACAGTGATGAGCACAGCCTCCAGGAAATGTCCATGTTGGCAGCCATCTTCTTCCTCCTTTCTACTGGTTAGGATGCGGATAGATGGTTGGGGCTAGAGCAGCCAAGTTATATCATGAGGTGGAAATTGTAAGTTGAAAGGAATGATGAGGGCCCTCCCTGGTGGCGCAACGGTTAGGATGTTAGGACGCAGCACTGCAAACTGGCCACAGCACTTCAGTGCCAGTTCCATCCCCAGCCCCAGAGGTGACCCACATATTGCCACAGACCTCTCTTGTCCCACCTGCTGCTCCCCTCAGCAGTGTATTTCAGTTGATCTGCCTGTTCTGCTCCCTGCTCTGTGTGTGGTGAATCCTCTCACTGCCCCTGCACCTCTGGCCTGTACCCCAGTTCAGTATGTCTAAATAAATAAATAAATCTTAAAAAGAAAGAAAGAAAGAAAAGAAAGGCATGATGAGAGAGAGACTAAAATTACTTATGATTGTACTCCACAATGGGGAGGGGATTAGCAAATGAAAAGTACCTGTTACAACAACTACTGTTGATTATTTGCTTCTCAGTCACTGCAAAGTCCTGCAAAGAACAGTAGTTGGTGAGATAGGAAGATCCAGAGTCCTCATAACCCTGGATCTACCCTACCTGCCTAGGATCACTTTTTTTTTTTTAATATAAAGAAAATAAAATCTTGTTTTCTAAATTACTGCCATTTGGAAGTTCTGTCACCAGCAGCAAATCTGCCCTAACTAATAAATACTATATTTCAAATTAGACTGTAAAGCACTTTGAGAAGGGTTGTTTTACATCTTGTTAGTTCAGATTGAAAGATACACAGACTATGCAGAGTGATTGAGGAGCAAAATATCAACAGCAGCTGTTGTAACAGGAACTTTTCATTTGCTAATCCCCTCCCTATTGTGGAGGAGATTAGCAAATGAAAAGTGGAGTATAAGCATAAATAATTTTAGTCTCTCTCTCTCTCTCTCTCTCTCTCTCTCTCTCTCTCTCTCTTCATACATTTCAAACCCAGTCACTCAGGTCTTTGACCTCACCTTAATGTTACCTTAACAGGTCTAATTTTTCCTATTACTTTCAGGAGAACATTCACAAAATTAAATAGCCCTTTTGCTTCATTTTATTTATTTGTTTGTTATAATAGTTTATTTTTACATCATTTGGTGCCTTTTTCCATCTCAATTGTAATTCCTGTGAACTTCCCATCACCAATTCACCTGTGTGTCATCACCGTAGTCCAGTGCACTGCCCACCCCCCTATTTTTGATCCCATTCCCCGCTCCACCCCCATAAAATGTCTCTGGTATATAGTTGTTCGTTATTATTCCTCCCTCCCCCCAGTCCTTTATGCTCCTGCCATGAGCGAGACCATCCAGTATTTTTCTTTTTCTTTCTGGCTTATTTCACTACTTTTGCTTCAGTTTTAAAAAGTTCAATTCACAGGAGCCAAACTTAAGAAGCTACCATTTGGCAAAGATGGAACAATGTGAGCATCAGTAAAACAAAGACTATAATTAATGGAAGAATAGCTTCAAATTTTAAGTCATGAGTTCATGGGTACATGAAAAAATAAAAAACCACCCTAATCCTTTCTCTTTTTTGGAGGATGCTGAAGAGCCAGTTTGTTATTCTGAGAGCTGGAAGGGAAAGGAAAATAAAACATATTTTCTTTTACTCCTGAAGATCTATTTTCAGTTCAGTAATCAAATATTTCATGAAGGAAAATCTTTCTTTAGAGAGAACGCCCACTACTAAATGAAAGACAGACAGAATCTCACCACTTTGCAAACCTAACAAAGTGGACCCAGACAGTGATCACTGGCAGCTGCTAAAATCATGATGTGAAAAGACAATAAAAATATATCATTTGTGTGTTAGGATGGCAACATTGTAGAACAGGGATCAATCTTAACATCACAAAAGGAAAGGGAACCAGAACATTTACATCTCAGGAGGAGAGGCAGTGAAAGTACACACCAAAGTCTTGCAAGGAAAACAACACTAACCTCTAGATCTAAATTCAGGTTTGCACAAAATACAGACGAAGGAACATGACAAATGACATCATAGAGATTCACCTGGGTCAATCCAGAATATGCAAGGCACTAAAGACAAATCGACCAATGTTTTTAAACAGATACCCTGCAGCTTAAAAAGAAACTTTAAGAGCCATCGAGAGCATGTTATGATTTTTGTTTGTACTTAGATTCAAACAAATCAGTTGCAAACCTTTTGAGATGATTGGAGAATCTGCTCCTTGATTGCATATGATTATATGAGAGTTATTATTGACTTTTAAAAATATGATAATGGCACTATTATGTTAACATATGTTAAAGGGGTAGGTGGTGGGAAAGAAAAAGCCAGCTTGACATTTTGTTGGAAATCAGGATTGGTTACTAAACTGTGAGCAGCTCATTGCAATTCTATAAATATAATCTCATTTATTGATAATTCTAGTCCAGTGACATAAAAATGTCATGGTAAGGAGCGCTATAGCCAAAAACTATTCACTGTTTGTCAATGTAAATAATGTTATGATTTAAATGCACTACATTTAATTGGGATTGTAAACATACATTCTGAACTTAAATAAAATGGGGACGCTCCAGCAAAAAATAATTACATGAAAAGGCAAAGAAAAAAAGAAAAATCATTCTTTTTTTTCTTATTCATTTTTTTATTACAAAGTTTATTTTTACATCATTTTGCACATTTTTTTTTCCATCTCGATTGTAATCCCCGCGGGTTTCCCATCACC